AGATATAAAGCGTTGATATGATCAAGCACTCACGAGATAAAGCATCCACGATCTGATCAAGCCCTCACGAGATAAAGCATCCACGATCTGATCAAGCGCTCACGAGATCAAGCACCCAGTATCTGATCAAGCACCCAGTATTTGATCAAGCACCCAGTATTTGATCAAGCACCCAGTACTTGATCAAGCACCCAGTATCTGATCAAGCACCCAGGATCGGATCAAGCACCCAGGATCGGGCACTCACGAGATAAAGCATCCACGAGCTGATCAAGTGCCCAGGATCTGACGAAGCACCCAGGATCTGATCAAGCGCCAAGCGTCCACGACCCGATCAAGCACCCACGATTCGATCAAGCATCCATGGACCGGTCAACGACTCAGGAACCGTGGTCAACGGGGATTGAATGAGGCGATTATCGGTTGATTTGTGAACAGGTAAGTGATGGGTAGTCGGGCTGGTTTCGCTGACCGGTAGCTAATCAATTCATGGACGAGTATCTGTTCGGTTGGTGGATCGTTCCATCGCTTGGTTGTTGTTTTTGGGGGATAGGTATTTTTTAACCGCGTACATTATGGATTGATTGGTTAGTCGATCGGTACCATCAGTTAGGCTGTGGACTGGTTGGTTACTGGTATGTTGGTTGGTTGATTGTTTCCCTGATCAGGTAAGAGATCGATTGGTTGGGTGGGCGTTTAATTGTCGTTCATTTTTGACTGGGAAGTGAATATGGTTATTAGACTGTCTTTTTTTTTTTAATTATTTTATTTATTAGTCTGCTGTATTTTTATTAGACTATGTAGATATCTTTTCTTCTGATGTATTTTTTATGTACTTACCTTATGAATGGGCCAATCCTGTACTCTTCATATCCCTTTATTACTTAAGAATGCACATGATTCATCTCGGTGTACGTATGGTAGGTATCGTTGCTACGACGGATGTGGTGGAGGCTGCGACGGGTGTGAAGGTTGCGGTTATGGTGGGCGGGTTCCCTCGTAAGGCTGGCATGGAGCGCAGAGAGGTTATGGGCAAGAATGTCACCATCTACAAGGAGCAAGCAGCCGCCTTGGACAAGTACGCTGATAAGAGCGTGAAGGTAAGGCAACCATGTCCGGTTGACCGAAAGGAGGGCATTTTTTTTTTTATGGAGGAGGGCAGTTTATTTTTCTAAGGAGAGCAATTTACCCGATCAGGAAAGTGATCGGAAGGCCGTGAGAGTTTGCACACGTGTTGCCGTGACTGACCGATATGACCGATTGTGCAGACGAACTCCAATGGTCCCCGCGTGGATCGATCATCACGCGGATTCGCTTTGCTTCGCTTCAACGCTCATCGTGAGGGATGAACCCGAATATATATGTACGCAAGAGGTTCTGAACAGGGGGAGTTGTAAGGAAGAAGATAAAAAAACGAATTCATTTTTTCTTTTTTTTGATTTTGCGCTCTGCGTCCAGGCAACCCTTGTGGCCCGATCCTTGTGGGCCAATGGCTGAATAGGAATCAAAACTCAGCCCTCTTGTCAGCCCTCGTGTCAGCCCTCGGGGTGGAATGATACACTCAATCCATTTAAGTTCGAGTGTGAAATGCCTGGACGCAGTCCGTTCCGAGTTCAATTATGATTTATTTTTTTTCCGTTTTTCTATTGAAATATGTTCTTCGACGCTCCTCGTGAGGGAACGCTCCTTGTGAGGGAGCGCTCGTTGTGAGGGATGAACCCGAAGATGTTTTATGATTATTATTTTTTTTCCGTTTTCCTTTCGAAAGATGTTTCGAAATTACGGGAAAAGGTGAGGTTTCGGAAGCATTTGTGCCGCTTCAATCTGAGCTCACATCAGAACGAGGTTGGTTGTTCGTTCCATTTTTTCACTGGAGGAATTTCTCGCTGCTTTGTTTTCTTCTTGGGCAATTGAATGGTCAAAGTCAACGATGAAAACAATATAAAACGCAACCACTGTGGCTGATGGCAATCCTTGTGGCCCAATCTTTGTGGGCCAATGGCTGAATAGGAATCGAAACTCAGCCCTCTTGTCAGCTCTCGTGTCAGCCCTCGTGTCAGCCGTGTCAGCCCTCGTGTCAGCCCTCGGGGTGGAATGATACACATGAACAGATGAATCCATTTAAGGTGGAGTGTGAAATGCCTGGACGCAGTCCGTTCCGAGTTCAATTATGATTTTTTTTCCTTTTTTTGCCCCCGTTTTTTGTTTTTAATGGAACACTGCTCCAATCTATTCGTGGGGAGCAACACGTGCTGGAAATCGGGCTCAGCGTCCCATTTGAAACCATGTTTGAGAACATATACAGACCAAAATGAGATATCAGGGCCATTACCCGGCTTCGGCTGAGAATAGCAATTACACCTTTTCTAAGGGTCATGAGCAATTACTAGGCTATTTAACAAAGGGCCTGAGCTCATGAAATAGGCTTAAAGTTTACAAGAAGAAAATGAGAAGTCTCTTTTCTGAGTACAATTCCAAGGAAGGAACTATGAGAACCTCAATCATTATCCCCTGAGAGTTTTCGGTTAGAACAAACTACTTTAGTGTGATTTCACAGCCCCATCTCAGCATGCGTCAGCCATTATATCCTCGACTTTGTCTCTACCAGGCCTCACACCTCCAATGCCAGGTCACAGACTCTACCAGGCCTTACACCTCCACTGCTAGGTTACAGAGAACAAACTACCTTAGTGTGATTTAACAGCCCCACCTCAGCATGCCTCTGCCGTCATATCCTCGATACAAAGTCTCTACCAGGCTTCACACCTCTACTGCTAGGTCACAGACCTACCGTAGTCTCTACCAGGCCTCACACCTCCACTGGTAAGTTACAGAGAACAAACTACCTTAGTGTGATTTAACAGCCCCACCTCAGCATGCCACGCCGTCATATCCTCGATACATAGTCTCTACCAGGCCTCACACGTCCACTGCTAGGTCACATACCTACCGTAGTCTCTACCAGGCCTCACACCTCCACTGCTAGGTCACATACCTACCGTAGTCTCTACCAGGCCTCACACCTCCACTGCATGGTTACAGAGAGGCGCGACCCAGTCCAGAACACAATCCGCCCCGCTAGGCAACAGGCCGGACGGGTCTAACAGAGGAGTCAGCAGAACATGGAGCGAACCGCCTATCACCCCCGTAGCTGCTGTTCCAAGACCTCCTGAACTTCCTCAAGCGCTGATTGTGATCCTCCACTGCAAACATTCGTCTATCCCTAATGACCTCATTCCGGTAAGACGTACCACAACGGAGCCCCCATCTCCACTGCCGCTGTGCCCTGGACACTGGAGTGCCTTCCACACATCACAACTGCCCAGACCTCTCTACTAGGTCGCATACCCCCGCAGAATTCGGGTTGCAGGGCAGCGCAACCAAGCCCCAGCACCGACCACCCTGGTTCTGGCCTCGTTCATTAGCCAAGCTATGGGTGATACCGGGTCGTAAGTTCCGTATAATGGGTCAGCGGAACCTGTACGGACCGTGGCCGTACATGGTGATGACATTGTACGGGTCTAACAGAGGAGTCAGCAGAACATGGAGCGAACCGCCTATCACCCCCGTAGCTGCTGTTCCAAGACCTCCTGAACTCCCTCATGCGCTGATTGTGATCCTCCACTGCAAACATTCGTCTACCCCTAACAACCCCATTCCGGTAAGACGTACCACAACGGAGCCCCCATCTCCACTGCCGCTGTGGCGGCTGTGCCCTATATCGTCCTACTACCTTCTTCCCCCGAATACAACGTACGGTCATTATCTCTGTATCTAGAGGGAAAGTTGCCTCAAACACAGCTATAATGACCGTACGTTGTATTCGGGGGAACAAGGTAGCTAGGTCCCACTAGCAAAGAGGATTGGATAGATATCCTGAATCTGGCCGTGTTTTAAGCAGAGATGCAGAAAAGCAGTTCAATCTC